AAGTATTGACAGCATAGACAGTCACCAGGTTATGAATGAGATGAGTTCTGTAGGTTTGTTCTTGGGTTGAATTTGTATGTAAGTTGGAACAGGTACATTTACTTACTACCTGTAATAGCCTCTGTTCATGTACGATGTATATCATTGGGGACTTACTGTGATACCCCCCCATTCATTTTTTTTTTTTTGAGACAGAGTCTACTGGGTAGAGTGCCATGGCATCACAGCTCACAGCAACCTCAAACTATGGGGCTTAAGCGATTCTCTTGCCTCAATCTCCCAAGTAGCTGGGACTACAGGCTGCCACAATGCCTGGCTATTTTTTGTTGTAGTTGTCATTGTTGTTTTAGCTGGCCAGTCTGGGTTTGAACCTGCCAGCCCCGGTGTATGTGGCTGGTGCCTTACCCACTGAGGTACGGGTGCTGCAGATACACCCCATACTTAAGTGTGAGTTGTATGTAAGTTGGATATTTGTAAACTCAGGGAGAAAAACTGAACTGTAGAGAAAAACTGGACCTGTTTCCTAGGATGGTTTATTTTTAGGACTAGATATGCATCTCTAAGACAGTGCTGGAAGTTTAAAATAACTTTTTTTAATGTTTATTGTATATCTGTTCTTGAACAATTCTTCTAAGCCCCTGGGGAGAGTAAGGTGGGGGGTGTTAAGACTAAAGGACCTGAATCACTACTTCAGGTATCCAGGGCCACTGACCAGTTCAAACACAATGATGCCAGTGAGCTCCCTTCATCAGCAGCATTGTCTGATAGAACTTTCCACAAGGGTGGAAATACTACATGGCTGCACCATCCAATAGTAGTCACACCTGGCTAGTGAACACTCAAAATGTGGTTAGTACATCTGAGGACCTAATTTTCTTTCTTTCTTTTTTTTGTGGAAAAGAGATTTTTATACTTTCTAAAAATTTCACCAAAGTAAAGCCAACCTGTAGTTGATGGGGGTGTGCTGTGCAGGTGTTAGCAGTACTGCCTCTGCTATAAGCTCGTTGGACAGTACTGCGATCCCAAGAAAAGGATGGTTTAACTAATTTAAACTTAAATGTTGCTAGCCACAAGTGGCTAGTGGCTACCATACTGGACAGCACTGGCCTCTGACCAGTGTGCCCAGCTTTACCTCCTCTTGGAGGCCCCCGTGCCCCCCTGACTTCAACTGCACTGAGCCTTTTTGCATTTCCTGCTATCTCCCTCCCTTCTCATTTGTCTGTCAAAATCCTGCCCATCATTCAAAAGGTTCAAATGATACCTTCACACATTCCTCCCAGACTGGTTTCAGGCAGAATTCTTTCAGCCCTCTGTAAGCAAAGAATTCTTTGCTTGCTCCTATGACAGCCTGTGTCCTCATATGCCCTGTATTCCAGCAGATGAGGGAGCCTCTGCAGAGGCTTGGAGGTCGACAGACTCAAGTTCAAGGCTGGCTCTGCCACTGGGCTCTTAAACTAAGGAGTTTAACTACTTGGGTCGTCAGTTTTCCAGTGTGTCCAATGGAAGTTATAGCATCTCTGTTCCAGGGTGGTGGAAAGGATGGATGATGTTCATTTATTCCTTCCTATTACTGCTGTGACCAATCACCACAAACTTATGGCTTAAACTCCCTACATTTCTGGAGATCGGAAGTCTGATGCTGGTCTTAATGGGCTAAAACATTGTCAGGGCTGAGTTCCTTTATGGAAGCTCTAGAAGAGAATCCACTATTTTGCTTTTTCTAGTTTCCAGAAGCTGCCTGCATTCCTTGGTTCACAGTCTCTTCCACCTTCAAAGCCAGCAGTGGCTGGTCAACTCTTTCTCATGCTGCTGTCTCTCTGGTTCTGACCACTCTGCCTCCCATTTAAGGGCATTGTGATTACTTTGGGCCCTCCTAGGTAATCCAGACTCATCTCCTTATTTTAAGGGGCAGCTGATTAGCAACCTTAATCCTCCTTGCCGTGTAATATAGCATTATTAAAATTAAAACGTGGACATCTTTGAGGAGGAGCATTATTCTTCTCACCACATTTATTAGGGATCTAGTACAGTGCCTGGCTCATAGAAAGTGCTTGATAAGTAGGGCCATTATTTGACCTGTATCTGTTAGTTTTTTTCCTTTAGCATGAGAACCTCTTAATGTTGAAGTTTCTTAATTTTCTTTATAGACTCTGTCTTGCCCGAGAGCAGGTGCTTAGTAAATGTTTATTAAATAATAGAATTTCCAATAAAGGTAGATGGTTTCTTCTCTTGTAAAGATATATTGGACAATAAAAAGAAGGAAAATGCAAGCCAGAATATATCTACTTTGTGCAACAAAACAAACAACCACCCCCCCAGAAGTTGATTTATAAATAGAAAAATTGGGTAATTATGTATGTCATGCTGTTTGTTAATGGTGGTTATCATGGGAACGTTCCCTTTCTGTGAGATGCATTCTAGTGATTATAAAAATAATTTTGTTTACAATGAACATCTTTTAATCTTAGAGGAAAATAAGATTAAAACATTCATGATTAAAACATGCACTTTAAACCTGTCTCAGTCCAGCTGATCCCTGAGTCACCCTTGGATTCAGTACACATCCTACACCAGTGCTCTGTGATCATGTTGGTCTAACTTTTAGGTCAAGTAACTATTAGTACCAGGTCTCCTGCTCATTTTCAGCATGCTTTGAGCTCAATCTACTAAAGGAGCGTTTTCAATTAACCTCAGCAGGACGTAACTGTAAAAAATATATTTATTGCTGCTGGTGGGAACATAAATTAGTACAATCACTTTGTAGAATTACAATCGAAGTTGCACACTTTGACCTTGTAATTCTGTTCTGGTAATATCCTGCAGAGACATGTTCAAGGGTGTTCATGCAGTATTTTTTTGGTAGTAGTAAAACATTGGAAACCAGCTAAATGCCCATCAACAGAAGAATAGAAAAATAAATATGGTTACATCTGAGTAACAGATTACTATGTAGCACTGAAAGGGACTAAAGCTATCCTCATTATGCATCAATTTTGTAATTAAAATATTGATTAAAAAAGACAAATTTCAGAAGATTACATCTATCATGCTACTACTTATATAAAGGTTGAAAGCATGAAAAAACTATATATTGTTTAGATCTAAAAAATGTATGAGAAAATTAAGGGCCATGATAAATAGTGGGTGAAGCTGAAATTAATGATTATAAGGTGGGAGAGGAATGAATTGGAGGCTTGGATTGAGTAAGTAGTGATTTATGTTTTTAAATTGAGTGGTGCTGATGTGGATTTAAAAATTCCTTTTTGTATATATTAAGTAAGACCATAATAAGGCCTTTCATAAAAGATGACAGTGCATTTAGATAGATCACAAATAGATTTTAGGAGCAAATAATTAAAGTGATGCTTCTGTGAAGGGTTCTCTGCTAAGGGATGCTGAGTATGCCATTCATTTTGCAATTTGCAGCCCCCACCAGCATCTGCAGGCCACCTCCCCCCTGCCCTCCTGAGACCCTGTGGCCGTGCATCCTCCCCTGAGCTCAGGGCCAGGTGTAGCTGCGCCCTTCTCTCTGCCCATGTAGCAGTGTTGTCCTCTCTGCTGTCCGTCTATTGTACGTGCCCTCTCTGCATGGTTAGAAATGACGTTCATCATTTTCTCATCATTCTTGGCCATTCATTTAAGATTTCCAGAGTTAGAAAATAAAACTCTATTTTTATTTTGGGAAAACAACAAATAACATTCTAGTGTAAGTATGACTCAAATAAAAAATTATTTGTTGTTTTATCTGAAATTGAGTTTTAATGGGGCATTCTGTGTGATAATCTGGCAATCCTACAGAGACATGTTCTCTTTCTTTTGTAAATTATCTGCCCAAAGCTTTTGCTAATTTGCAAAATGAAGGTGTAGCTTTTTTTTTTTGAGACAGAGTCTCACTATGTCACCCTGGGTAGAGTGCTGTTGCATCACAGTTCACAATAACCTCAAACTCTTGGGCTTAAGTGATTGATTCTCTTGCCTCAGCCTCCCATGTAGCTGGGACTATAGGCTCCCACCAGAATGCCTAGCTATTTGTTGTTGTAGTTGTCATTGTTGTTTGGCAGGCCCAGGCTGGGCTCGAACCCCATGTGTGTGGCTGGCGTCCTAGCTTCTGAGCTATAGGTATGAGCTGGGTAGCTTTTTTTAATACTGAAGATACTACTCTATATTTCTGTCATATATGACAAATACCTTTCTCAGTATGTTATATAAAAAGACAATGGGTGCAGTCCATAAAATTTTACATTTTTATATGGTTCATCTGTCATTATGGTACCTATTTCTGGTGTCAGGTGGAAGAAAGCTTTCCCCTACTGAGTTACAGAAATTGGGTGAATAAGTGGCACTGGCAGCCCAAATACATGACATACGGCTCGTCTATTCACATTGGCTATGATATGGCATTTTAGTTCATTTGGCATTTTATGCGAACTAAACTTCTTCACATGACCCTTTGGAGAGAGGGCTAGTCCTGTGTTTCAGAAGTTCTCAGTAATATTTGGAAAGATGTGTCAACTGGAAGTACTCTGTGAGATAAGTGAGGAAATTTATGTAAAAAGCGTTATTTGATAAGTAGGCAATGCTGGAAATGACACTAGGGCTTTGGCACAGAATTTAGGCTCTTTTCCATCTGTGGGTCTTTTCCATTTACTAATTTTTTTATTATGAAAACTAAATATACACCAAAAAAAGAAAAAAAGAGAGACTAGTATAACAGATTTCCATGGAACCCTCACCCACTTTCAGCAATGGCCCAGTCATGACTGATCTTGTTTTTTCCAGCCTTCTCCCCAGTCATTGCCCCCACCCTGCCCCAGTGCCCCTGCTCAGATTATTTTGAAGCAAATCTGACATTGTGTCTTAATGTCTATAAATATTTTCATACAAATTTCTAAAAGACTAGCATTCATTAACAAAAGCTAATCATGGTGCCATATCACAACCGAAGAATATTAGCAATAATTCCTTAATATACCATCAAACAATCAACATTCAGCTCTCCCCTATTATCTCCTAAATGTGCTTTTTTTCTGCTTGTTTTAGTCAAGATCCATATAAGTTCCACATATTGCAATTGGTTGAACTGTCTGTCTCTTAAGGCTTTCTTAATCCGTGGGTTTCCCCCCTTTACTTTGTGCTTTGTTTATTGAGTTAGTGGGTTTTCACACTAGATTTTGCTGCTTGCATTTCCATTGTGTTTTGTAACATGCTCTTCTATTCTTTATATTTCTTATAAAATAACAGAGCTATAGGCTTGATCAGATGTAGGTTTGATATATATATATTTGGCAGATATACATATTTCATAGGTGTGGGTGTGTACTTCCTCAGAGGTACATAGCATCCGTGATATTGGCACCCATTGATGACCATTGCTGGGCCTGTTAATTCACTGATTTTTAAACAAGGAACAGGTTGCACTATATAGGGCTTCTAATTCTGGGGGGCATTGCCGTGATCTTCCTTGTCTCTGGCATGCCTTGGGGGGGTACAGAAGAGGGCTTTGGTGCCAATGTTCCTTTCTCAGGGGTCTCTTGATGGGAGGCTGCATGTGATTGCAGAGCTTTGAGAGGCAAGCTCTGCCCTGAGTTCTTAGTTGGTGGGTGCTGGCCTTAGAAAGGGAACCACTTGGTTTCTTGTGGAAGTGGTAAGAACGTGAGGAAGCTGTTTTACCCTTCATGCCACGTGGGAGTCTTTAAGGTGTATAGATGTACAGCTGGATAGGTGAGCTTGTGTGTGATCTTCGGTATGTTGAGAATTTATACAGGGTGGCCATATAGTTCATGTGCAATTTAAACATGAACTTTATGGCCACCCTGTATTTTAAGGAACAGATTTTGAATTGGCTTACATAATGATGGGGATTTGTTGGCTCATGCAAGAGAAAGTACAGATATGAGATAGGGGTTGTGGGCTGAATTGCATCCCTCCAAAATGTATGTGTGGAAGTCTTAACCTCTCCCCCACAGTACCTCAGAATGTGATTGTACGTGGAGGTAGGTCTTATTTATTATTTATTTATTTATTTATTTTTTCAGTTT